CTACTCATACTTCAACTCATTCGAAAAATTCCGAGAAACTCGCCTTCCCCCACGAGCAATGTGGAAAAATAGTCTAACAGGAGGGGATGTGAGTGTTTCAAGAAGCGAGTACAATCATGCCCTTAAAGTTTTCACCGAACTGAAGTGTGGCTCACTTGGTGATTACCACGACTTGTACTTGACTACAGATGTGCTATTGCTTGCTTCCGTTTTCGAAGCTTTTCGTGAAGTTTGCTATCAAACATACGGGCTGGATTGCGCCTGTTACTTCACGGCAAGTAACCTTTCCGGGGACGCCTTTCTAAAAGTTTGTAAGCCCGAACTGAAACTCTTAACGGACCGTGAACATCTAGACCTTGTGCAGCGAATGATACGAGGAGGCATGTCGTCGATTTACGCGCGCCGATTTTACAAAGCAAACAATAAATACCTCGACGATTTTTCGCCCTCAGAACCATCAAGCTACATCCTCAATATTGATGCAAACAATTTGTACGGGGGGATAATGAAACACTGCCCTTTGCCCTTAAACGATTTTTCAATAGTTGAAAAAAGTCTGGCAGACATACTGCTCACCAGCGAAACATCAGAATGGGGTTATATAGTTGAAGTCAATTTAACCATACCCGAAGAGCTTCACGACTTCTTTGCTGATTACCCCCTTGCCCCCTCTCGTGAAGTAGTGGACATCGGTGCAATGAGCAACGAGCAAGTCGACATGTTGGGAAAATTGGGAATCACCACACTGCCAAAAGTGCCAAAGCTTCTACAGACCTTGCATCCTAAAGAAGGTTATGTTTTGCACTACCTTACCCTAAAATTGTACCATGAGCTAGGAATGAAAATAACTCACCTCGGAAAAGTTCTTCAGTTCCGCCAAAGTCACTGGATGGCACCCTTTGTCGACCTCAACACCCGCCTACGAAAAGCCGCGGTAAATAAATTCCAGGAGAACTTCTACAAGCTAATTGTTAATTCAGCTTTCGGTAAGACAATGGAGTCTAAGTTAGGAAGAAAGAAGCTGGAGATTGTAAGGAATGAGAGAGAACTTTTACAAAAAACAGCTCTGAGCACAATGAAAAGCTTTCAAATCATTGACGATCAATTAGCCACAATTAGCTTTTCAGTAACAAAAATATTGTGGGATAAACCTATGATAGTTGGTGCGACCATCCTAGACCTCGCCAAGCGTTTCATGTTTCAGTTTCACTATCAAAAAATGAAACCAAATCTAAACTTGGAACTCCTTTACTCCGACACGGATAGTTTTATTTACGCCATAAAAACTGATGACGTTTACCGAGACTTGGAGAAAATAAAAGCTGATTTCGACTTTTCAAATTACGATAAGGACCATTTCTTGTTCGAGGATACCAACAAGAAAGTTGTGCTGAAGTTCAAAGACGAGACTGGTGGGAAGCCGATCAGAGAATTCATCGCCCTAAAACCGAAACTATATTCGGTCGTCCTTAATGGTAAATAAAATTTAAGCCACCCTTCCACCCCCCATTCCTACCTTTTACAGAACAAAAATACCACCACCAACCTACCTACACCCCTTAATTTGTTGCATTAAACTATGGGCATTTAGCTGATTTAGGCAACATTATACAATGTTGCCTAAACGTTGATTTATCTGACAACATATTCCCTCTTGTTTCCTCTTTTTTAATCATAATTTAGAGTCTTCTGCTCTTTTTTGGTAAAATGAATCAAATTTTGTTCGGTATAAATTGAGTTGCTGAAGTGAAATGAAGCTATCCCCAACGTTGTAGAAAAGAATAATAATTTTGCTATTGTTTAGAAGGCACTCAAAAATTGAGTGCCAAAGGAATTAAACGGAGTGCACAGAGAGAACTGGTCCACCAAACCTTCAGGGACACATTATTCACCGGAAAAACAATGAGAGTATACAACTATAATGTAGTTTCGAAAGGTCACACCAATATGACAGTGAAACAAAACAAACTTGCATTATCACCATTCGACTCAAAACGTTTTCTACTTTTCGACGGAATTTCGACAGTGCCCTTTGGCCATAAAGCCGCTGAAGAAAATGCTTTTCTAGAAGACATTTACATGGACACCGCGTGGGCCAACTCATACAATGAAACTGATAACAGTTCTCCCGATTTTACACTCCCGGATTGGGGATTTTTACAGCGGCCCTACTCAGAAGCAGAGCTGCAAGAAGAAGAAGAAGCTTCTAGTAGCCGAGTCCGTGAACGTCCCCCTATAAAAAACCCATTTATTTTATCTGAAGCTTCAGAAGAACGACCATCTAAAAAACACCGCAAAGAAAACCAAAACAATAAACATTAAAGTCTGAAACATATATTTTCAGATGATTTTTACTCTTCGTCCTTTTTATACTTCGACTTGTATATGTTTTGGTTTTTACCAATTTACAACTAATAAAATACTCGTATTGAGCTCAATCACTGTTTTAACATAAATAGCTTCAGGCAAATAAACTAGTAGACACAAACCAAGTGTTAATTCAAACAAATGTGTGAAATCCTTAGGCTTGTTTTGAATAATAAACTTTAATAGCATGACAAATCTTTGACGAAAAGAAAGAAAGCCAGGAAATGATATCCACATGAAACTAGGACGAAAAAAGAAAAGTTCAGGAATTAGGACGATTAATTTTAATTATCGCGGGAAAAGGGACCGCTTTCAAAGGAATTAGAAGGAATTATTGTATCGCGTCCCGGTTGTTGAGCTCAGCTTAACAAGATCCTAAGGAGGGGGTCTTTTACTTTAGGGGTGGGAACTTGCGATCATTTACAAAATCCTAGGATAGGGGTCCTCCAAAAAATTAAGGACCCCTTTCCTAGGATTTTGCTTTACGTGAGGACCCCCCCCTTAGGAAGGACCCCCCCTTAGGATCCGGGACACGATACAATACTACTCCTATTTGGTCTTCATAATTAACCTCGTAAAACCACTCGTTAGACCATAAAATTCATGTTTGAGTGTGGTGGGGGAAAAGGAAAAAGAGCCAAGGCTTGTTCCCGATTACAAGACACTTGCTCTCGCAAGTGTAATAATATTAATTTAAATAGTTAAAATTTTAGTCGCGCAAGTTAAATAATATAAATTTAAACAGCAAGAAAAAATTACTAAAAATGTTTTAATATAACTGTGTCCGTCGACTTCACCAAGTAAAAAAAAACTATCGCGTAATGTGGCTTTTAAAACCAATTTTATAAACTTCAAAAAATAAAGGTTAAAAGTGATAATTTTTAAAGCAGTTTTGGTCGCGATTCTCAATATGGAAAGAATTGTCGGAGAAATTCTCCGAAGCAGTACTACTAGGACTGGGCTACTTTTGTGAAATCAGTTATTTTTGAGCTTTTTGGTAATATTTATCATGCCAATGTTCGAATTGTTGGATTCACAAGCAAAGTTAGGTTTGAAGTAATGTTCAGTTGAAAGAAACCATCGCATGAAGAGCAGTAAATTTTGGATTGTTTGGTCGAAATTTACCGCCCATTCGAGTCTGCTGTTTAGAATATCACTATTTATAATTTCACAATATCATGTTCAAAAATAACCACATTTGAGTTTTCCCAAATTGAGCTGCAGTGGAAATTGACTTTTTTCCAGTTCCCACCCCTATATTTTAAAATGCCAGTTTTAATATAGTTGATTTACGTGTTATTGAGTCTAAACGCGTGTTGTTACGATTCAAATATGGAAAACATATCTGTTCTCAGTACTTAGTTTGTTTACCATGCTAAATTTCATTGCATAATGGCAACGCTGAAATAGTTTTTGTTCCGACAGTCGAAGAAAACGGAATTTTTATGCTTGGTGTGGTTTTTTATTCAGTCAATTTTCGGCGATCGGAATAATAGTTTTTGGATCAAGTTAACAACCTCCCCCCTAAACGTAATTAGGGGGGAGGGGATGTTAACTTGGTCCTAGTTTTTAACAAAAAAATTATATATCCCATTGAAGATATCGACTTGCTGTGTTTTCATGAAAAAAAAATGTGTAGATCAGTTTTGATTTCAATTTTTTTTACTGCAGTTGTATTTTGTTGGTAAGCGAGACTCAAGTTAGGGCTAAAATTTTTGTCGAGGATTTGAAAAGGACATACTTCTTCTAAACTGTGTTTTAAAAATGAAATTGAAAGATATTCAAGATTTTTTTCAATGAAACAAATACGTTACACTTTTCACGCGTTTTGCTTGCATGCATTTTTTTGAACATACAAAATGTTTCGTTGTGTACAATCATGCAGACATGCTAGCCTAAAACCATCGGTAAAAACCAACTTCGGAAAAATCTAGGATTGATTGTGGCAACTATTTTAGGTCTTAATTTAGCGAACATCTATACCATTCCGGCTGCAAGTTAGCTTCAAAGTTGATTGCTATGAAATTATTAGCTAGAAATTATTAAAATCGCAAACAGTTCTGAGCAGTTGCCACCAAATTGCCTTTTTGGCGATAATTTTTCTATTTCTTTCCAAAATGACCTCAATGAAAATGACCATATTAAACGAAGATGGAGTTGGAAGCACGAAGTCACAGTGAAGTTTTCCTTTTCAATTTTAATGTCAATTTATTCAATTGCTCATTATTGATAAAAGCAACCTTTTCATTTTAAAAATAGCGAAACAAAAATTGGTTGCTGAGGAAAAAATAAAACCAAATTGAGTCTTTATAATGCTTCATGGAATTTATAGCATCCTCTTTTGGCAGATAGCATCATTAAAGCCACTAATATGGTCGGGGTTCTTGGTTATTTGTTTTTTTTTTTCTATTGTAGACCAGGTCAATCAGCAACTGTCAATTACAAATCAAGTAGATCGAGCCAGTACCAATACTCAAAAAATTATCACAATTTGGTTTCAATAGCTATTAAAACATAAAGACAACAGCTATTAAAACAGATGATAGCTGGGCAAAAAGTTTGAAATTGAATATAGATTTCAGAAACCTGTTCAAAAAAATTGTTCTTTTAATAAAACACATTGGGCCGTTTAGATCTGGTCTCAACCGCAACAATGGACGCAACGGTAACCATGGCAACGGAGGAATTTCCATCTCCTCCCCTGTCAACTCAAACATGTCGTCCTCGGGAGTTGGAGGTTCCTCCGGAAACTTCCACGACCGCATCGGATCAGCACCAGGCTCCTCCGGGTCTTCTGGACCATCTGGACCTGGCCCCTCCTCCGGGAGTGCAATTGGCTCCGTGGGTGGCTCCGGTGGGAACGGTGGTGGCGGAAATGACTACAGCTTGGGAATCCCTGGGAGGTACTTCGGAGGATATGGACACTGTTATAAGTGCGGTAGGTTCTGTTTTTTTACGCTAACTAAAATATATTGAAATTTTTATAGCCATTTTGTTGTTGCATTGTTGGTTCGAGACAAGAAAAATATATGCATCTTTCTTTGAATGAAAAAAATTACGGAGAGAAAACATTTAATTTTTTCTTCGTCATAGGCATAACTTTGTTTCTCGGTAAAGAGCTTCTCTGTGGTCGCAACATTTTGTCCTGAATTCTCCTCAACTAATTATAAGACTATTTTTGATCAAAATTGTGTGCTTTTTAGGTCGAAGAGGTCATTGGGCAAACGGATGCCCATTTTGAGACGTGAGCCGAAAGCTGAGCTTAAGACTATTTACACAAACGAGAGTATTACACAAACGAGAGACCAAGGCTGGTTATTAGCCAATGGCAGTCGAGCAATACAGAATCAATACCCATACAACTTCGTCGAATGCTACACTCTGATTGGTTGGAAAAAAACTCATAGCAAAACTGAATTCAGCACTTCAGCCTGAAACTAGACTATACCTTATTGTTAACTTAACAAAAACTTAATCGATGCAGACTTGAAGTCTAAAAATTGTATAATTTTAGTTCATTTTGAAGGCCACGCAAAAAATGAACCCATTTCTAAGTTTTCAGTTTATAAAATTATGACAATTTGGAAATTGTCAGTGTGCTACTAGAAATAATAAAGTGTATTATAAATTCTACAAATAGATATTACATAGCTTTTAGTTTGTTATATTTGGTTCTAGTTTAAAGTTCCCTCCCTGAATGTTGAATTGTGTAGGTGAGTTCGGTTTCATTCGTACTTGATGTTTGCTTATTCCAGAATCATTAAAATAAAATTGATTAAAACTATTTGTTTCTAATTGCCGCCGAGGTTGAAGAACAGTTCTGAGTACATTTTTTTCAGAAACAATGAAACTGCTGGGTGTTTTCATGCGGGCTAATATTTCTAAATTATTAAAAACAGTTTTTCTGAAGCCAAGAGAAAATTTTTGGGATCTACTTAACAATCACCCCTATTGAATCTACTAAAGAATCGCCACCCCTGTAAATAAAAACAGTAAATTCGCACTAGAGCGCTGTATGGAAATTCGCATTCTGATTGGTCGAAATTTCGCTGCAAGTAATCTACTTAACAATCTCCCCCTTTCTTGAAAGCGGTGATGGGGGGATTGTTAAGTAGATCCAATTTGTGTTATGATTTTCGAAAAAAAGGTAGATGCGTTGCCTCAGAGCCGCAATCTTGACTAGCCAAAGTTTTAATCAAATATACTTTATATGGATACTCGAAATAAATTATCAAAAACTTCAGTCAAGATGCTGAAAAAAATAACTAACTAAAAAGAATAACAACGTAGTGAATAACAAAAACAAAATCAATAATGAAAATTTTATCTTCGTAATTTTTCTAGACAGCTTAGGCAAAATTACAAGTTTAGTTTGAAATAATTAGTTCGGCTTAAAGTTGTCCGAATAAAATGTTGAAGGTTTCTGAGCCATTACGCCTAACCACTAAATGCTATGATGGTGGGGAAATAGCCGCTAAAACCTGAAACTTGGATCAATTTGTTAAAAAAGAAATTATAAAGTCAAGAAATATTTGCAAGAGTAAATTTCTGCAAATTTGAGTTTTTAGCTAGAAATTTGATTCGGAAATACAGTAAAAAAATATACAAAGTTTGTAAATGTCTAGAGAAAAGCCCTCAAATTTATCAGAAAAAAAACGCTTGTGAAATGCATTCTAGTATAGTTTTTTGTTGTATTAGCGTTTCTAAGAGTTATTCGGTTTTCTTACTCGATTGTTTGGATATTGAATTAAATGTTTTATTAAGCAATTAAGAGACCTAACAACTTAAACATTTTTTTGGCTTTGCGTTAGCAACAATTAGGTAACAGAAATTTATTAAAAATCGTACGTGAAACAGAGTTTCCCTTCCAACATTTGAGTATTTCTTCCTATGACAAGCCGCTGAAGTAACAGAATATGAGAGCTTTTTTTAATGTAAAGCACTAGAGGGTTTAGGGGGGGATTCGACCCTTGCCGACCCGAACGGTCCCCCAATTGTACTATTTGAGATACCCATTTTTAGCTGCCCCTAAAATTTTCCTGAAGGCGCCAATCAGGAAGGAGCACGCGCCAAAAAAACGTAATTTTCCAAAAAAGTGTCGCTGAAAACGTTCAAGCTTTTTTCAGAAATAGAAATATTGATCAAAATAAGGTCTTTAAAGTAATTTGGGAGAGATCAAAACAAATAATTTGGTCGAGTAAGAAAGGTCGAAAAAATATTTGAATTTTTTTTTTAATATCCGCCCCACCCCCTTGAGAAAATCCTAGATCCGCCCCAGATGTAGACCCATTTTAATGGGCCAAATATTAAATCATGATGTAGAGCGTAAAATGAAGTCAAATCATTTTCACAAAACCTTAATTTTCATAATGAAAAATAACGAACTCGTTAGAAAAAACAATATGTCTCATAGAACTTTGATAGTTAGAATAAAAACACTGTAGACAAGTTGAAGGAAAACACATCAACTATGTCGCCATCCTGATGTAAGCAGTTTTGTTTTCAAAATAAACAAGACTGCTGGTATCAGGGCAAAGCCCTGAATGTTCTGACTGCTTTTTAAGGTTTATGGAGCAGCAGTAATAACATAAAAAATTAAATGAAATAAAATTAATTGAATTTTTTTTTTTATTTGAAATTTTTTATGAAAATCATCCCCCCACACGCAATATGAAGTAAAAAAAGATCGATTTCGTTCCTTGTAACAAATCAATTATGGCAAATAAGCTTCGTTCAACCAATTTGGAACGATTTATGAGACGGATTAAATCTCCGCTAACGCGTTAATAGCGCGAAATATATCGCGCGTTAATTGTCCCAAATTGGTCAAAATGGCCAAAATGGCAATCTTTAAACCCTCATAATTTTACGCAAAATGATCACAGGTGAAATATCTTTTCAAATTTAAGCTCAGGACAACAATGGTTTTCGAATGATAAAAAAAATTCCGTCAAAAATGGCTAGTTAAAAAGTCGAAATTTGTCTGAAGAAAAAAAAAACCCACCCCGAGCACAAATATTCAGTTACTTTCGTATCGAAAGTCGGAACAACAAGACTGCTCGTATCAGGGCGAAGCCCTGAATGTTCCGACTGCCTATTAAGGTTTATGGAGCAGTAATAACATTAAAAAATTAAAAGTAATAAAACAAAATGAAATTTTTTTTTTAAATTTGAAATTTTTTTATGAAAATCATCTCCCCACACGCCATATAAAGTACAAAAGCATAAATTTCGCTACTTGTAACAAATCAACTATGGCAAATAAGCTCTGTTAAATCAATTTGGAACGATTTCTAAGACGGATTAACTCTCCGCTTACGCGAACTATATCGCGCGTTAATTGTCCCAAATTGGCCAAAATCGCAATCTTTAAACCCCCCATAACTTTACGAAAAAAGATCACAGGTGAAATATCTTTTCAAATTTGAGCTTAGGGAAACAATACCTTTCGAATGATATAAAAAAAAATTCCGTCAAAAATGGCTAGTTGAAAAGTCGAAATTTGTCTGAAGAAAAAAAAACCCACCCCGAGCACAAAGATTCCGTTACTTTCGTATCGAAAGTCGGAACAACAAGACTGCTCGTATCAGGGCGAAGCCCTGAATGTTCCGACTGCCTTTAAGGTTTATGGAGCAGCAGTAATAACATTAGAAAAAAAAATTAAATAAAATAAAACGAAAATTTTTTTTACTAAAACTTTAAATTTTTTATGAAAAATCATCCCCCCACACGCCATATAAAGTACAAAAGTGAGATATCGTTCCTTGTAACAAATCAATTATGGCAAATAAGCTTCGTTCAACCAATTTGGAACCATTTCTAAGACGGATTAAATCTCCGCGTACGCGTTAATAGCGCGAATTATATCGCGCGTTAATTGTCCCAAATTGGTCAAAATTGCCAAAATGGCAATCTTTAAACCCCCGTAACTTTACGAAAAATGATCACAGGTGAAATATTTTTTCGAATTTAAGCTCAGGACAACAATACCTTTCGAATGATAAAAAAATTCCGTCAAAAATGGCTAGTTAAAAAGTCGAAATTTGTCTGAAGAAAAAAAACTCACCCCGAGCACAAATATTCCGTTACTTTCGTATCGAAAGTCGGAACAATAACATATTGTTTCTGTTCGTCATAGTTTTTTTAAGCAGTTTTATATTCAAACAGTAAATATTTTTGTTCACATTGTGCATATTTGCAAGCATCCTTCCAATAATAAAGCATTTTGCAATTTAGTTCTCCAAATTTCAATATCAGCGGTTCTATGAGGGCTGTTCCGATTATTAAACCTATTTCAAACTAAAAATGGCTTAAAGGGCAGAAGTATATCAAAAAAAATGACCGCCAGGTAGCCACAATAAGTAAATAGGGGTCTACTTTTAAAAGCGATACCGAATGGTGGAAGATTTTCAACCAATCGGAAAAGTCGAAAAACGAAATGCGTTGTTATTCATTGAAAACTTTATGCAGAAAACTGAAAACAAAAACAGCAGCATAAAAAAGCTTACAATCTCATATTGGCTTTGTGTTGACATTCATAAGGAATGCAATTCTGATAGGCTCGAAACTTTTATCAGCCTGACTGAGCTACCGAAGGCCTATTTGCATGTGTTGCCTCTTCGCATGCGGATGGCTATTAGCGTAATTAGATTTAGGTTATTTTCTCACGTTTGCAACTGAAGCTCAAACTGATGCGTGCCGTATCAAACTGAGCAATCAGTTTAATTGCGCATGCTATGCGGCACGCATGCGAGTTGTTAGGTCTCCTAATTGGTGCTAGATAAAGAGGATGAAGAAACCTTAACAACAAACATGCCATTGAGACAACAAATCAATGTTAAAACATATAAAATGAATCGTTTGATTTTAAGCGATATATATTTTAAGAGGAAAAACTTTGTAGGCGTTTTTTTGATGACCGATCAATAGGTATGGACATCTTAACGGCAGTAATCTTACTTGCCTAACACTTTTTTTCTACTTATTTTGAATTCGACGCCCTGATTTGGTTATTGTTTTTTCAGATGGTGTCATTTTTTTCAGATTGGTAAATACACAATTCTGATTGACCAATTCCTGTATCTATTATACAGATGTCTTGATCAAAAAAGATATTTTTTCTAAGAATTCAGAATAATTCATTAACAAATTGTCTTCTGATTCAATCGATGTTTCAATTTTCAGGTTTTTACTGTATGCAAAAGAAAACAGCGATTAATTTTTGGACAACAAAAAAAACTGATGGTGTTTTTTGAAGCAGTGAAACTATGCATACTGATAAAGTTTTGTTTTTGATTTCTTTTGCCATAAAATATTCGAGAGCTCTTCTGTTTACTCAATTTTCTCATATAATTTCTTATTTCATATAGAAATGTTAGTTTTTTCAAAGCCTTGAAGTTCTAATTGGAACTCCTTTTGAGTGAATTTAAAAATTTTTTTGTTTTTTTAATGAAAGTTTCTGTTTTGCCTTGTTGTTCTTAATTGATGTAAACTAATGCCAGTAAGTCTTCTTCTTGTTCTTATAATCATCAAGTTCATGGTTAGACGGCAATTAAGAAATAGCTGACAAATAATTGGTTTTGCGTACTCCAAAAATATTTTTTTTTAATCGAGGAATCCCTAAAATGAACACGAACGCTCGTATATCAGGACAAAGCCCTGAATGTTCCGACTGTCCCTTAACTCCTAGCGAATAGTTTTTGGGATACAAATTTTGAAAACCTATTAATTTTGGACAATATCAAAGTGTAA